CACAATCATAGCTTGGTCTCATCAAAAAGGTTTAAAGGAATCTTTATAAAAACAAGTTCAATGCTGCAAATTAATCTGTTGGTGTCCTCAAAATATACCTTATTTTTTATTAAAAATTGTATGTACACTTATGTTTTCAGGACTATATATATACTGTATAAAATAAAGCATACACATAATTGTTTCAAAGACTATTTTCCTAATTATGTTGTGGTAGATTGGAGGAAATAATTGAACTGAGTCCTGCTGCTACTGCCTCATAGACCCACAATATGATAGAATTGAAAAGGGACATAAGAGACAAAAAAGAAAAGTGCCAGCAAATGATAGATGAGGAAGCAGGAAGCAGTGCTTGCCTCTGCAACTACTGGTTGCTTCTGCTGCTGCTATATTTTCTGTCCTCATATCATACTTTTGTAAGTTGGTATTATGAGTGTATGTGCCTATATATACACACACACTCACATATACACACATACAGATGCTCCTCAAGTTATAATGGCACTACATCCCAATAAACTGATTGTAAGTTGAAAATATTTTAAGTCAAAATGCATTTAAATACATCTAACTTGCCAAACACCATAATTTAGCCTTAAATAATTTAGACTGCATTAAGTGTGCTTAGAACACTTGTGCTGAAAGTGAAAAACAGTATGGTTATATTCACACTATTATAAAATCAAAACATAAGTTGAACCATTTTGTAAATTGTAGAACATCTGTATATACATAAATACAGTCTATGCTGCAAAACCTGAAGTATATAGTGTTGTTTGTAGTGATGAAACCAGGACTTAGATTTGGAATCTTAGATCTGGAAAGGACTTTAAAGGTCACCCAGTCAACCTCGATCTTCTTCCAAATGATTTAATATCAGAACCAAAAACAAATAAAAAACCCTAAATACTAGGCAGAATGATGATCATGATATAACATTACTTATTTCATGATATCAAGCCGATTATGTCTGCCTGAAAATATGATGTGGCACTATTTGAACTACTAAGCTTCTCAGTTCAAGAAGCAGCCTAAAAACTAATGCAGAAACTTTAAAGCAACAGAGGCCAATAGGAGAAGGGGACTAGGAACTAGACAAAAGGTTAGTTCGAGAAGAATCAATTTAGAAAGTAACATATATGTACATGGAAGCAAAACTAGGTATCTCCCTGTATAGCTATCCTTACCTCAACTGGCAAAAACTCCTGGTTCTCCTTATTAATGCTTATACTCTCTCTTTAACAAAATTAGAGATAAAGGCAAAACAGTATCTGCTTGGAAGCGAGGGGGTGGGGGCGAGAGGGAGGGGTGGGGAGAAAGGGAGGGGGCTGGGGGAAGGGGGGAGTAATGACCCAATGATTGTATGCACATATGAATAAAGGAAATTTTTTTTAAAAAAAGCATCCTAAAATGCATCAGCTTTTCCTATGCCGTGGATCACACATGTAGCCCTTGAAAAGAGCAAAGATTATACATAGTCAAAGTCTATTTAGGACTGCCTGTTGGACACAGGGAGTTATGGCCTCTCTGTGTTTTCATTCGCCATTCATTGCTACCTGCCTTGCTTGTGAAAGGAAATATTGATTTTCTCTGGGATCCTTCTCTCTCTGTACACACACAGAGGTGTATAATTGCTACAAAGCAAGTGGTGGCAGGGACAACTGCCAAGTAGAGATCTGCTTCGTCTTCTTTGTTCACATCTGCTGCATGGAGAGATAGAATTTATTGCTTTCTTTGAAAAAGGGATTGCCTAGCTTGCTTCCTCCCCCCTCTTGTGGTAGATCATCCCAGAAGAATATTATATCTCATCACACTCATCTCCAAATGAAGTTAAAGTAAACCAAGAGGAGCTGGAGGCAGAAATCAGCTGAGCGGCACTAGGAATACTTAATAATGAGAGAGAGAGAGAGAGAAAGAAAGAAATAGTAGCTGATCAGTGTTGCATTCCAAACCAGTACCCTGTCTGTCTCCTGCCTCCCTGTATCTTGCCGTCTATCTTGCCCTCCATCATCACCGTAAGCAGGTGCTCTATTTCTTGTTCTTTTTTGAGTTCTGTGCATATTGGCATAAGATTGTGGTTTAACACTGAAAAAATTCTCTTTTAGTGGGTCTTCAGAAGTATATTTGATGCATTCCTTTTCTGTTTTTCAGTTTCCTTTTTTTGGGGAAAAATATCTCTTCCTCCCTATTCCCTTCTTCCCAATCTTACGCTATTCGTGGTTCATGCAAGACTATTATTTCTTTTGTATTTTCCAAGCTCTATGAATATAGAGCATGGTACCTTTGACCATCCTTTATTTAATCTAGCTTTACCTTTTTAAAACCCTTACTATGCCTAATCTTACTCATTGTCCAGATGAAGCTAACAAGCATTAGTGCTTCAGTTTTTACTGTAGTAAAATGAGTAGAATATCCAGATTCACAAATGGTTACAGTTTTCCCCAATCTGCACTATTTCATGTTAAAAGCATTTGTAGGATATCTTTTTGTGAGGTTTTTTTTGTTGTTGTTGGGGGGTTGTGCACATGGATGGAAGGCAGCATAGTTAAGAGCATAGTTTGGGTTCAGATCCTGACTTTTGTACTGAGTAACTTTTTAGAAAGTTACCAAACCTTTCTGGATACCATTTCCTCACTAGTAAAAAGAAGTAATAAGCCAAGTACTGGTGGCTCATGCCTGTAATCCTAACTACTTGGGAGGCTGAGATCAGGAGGATTGAGGCTTGAGGCCAGCCTGGGCAAATAGTCTGTGAGACCCCCATCTCCAAAATAATGAGAGCAAAATGGGCTGGAAGTGTGGCTGAAGCAGTAGAACACCTGCTTTGCAAGCATAAAACCCTGAGTTCAAACCAGTTTCCCCACACACAAAAAAACAGAGGTAATAATATACAGTGTGGTATAGATTTAGCAAGATGGTATCATTGAAATACTTAGCATACTATCTGGCACATGGTAAACACTTAAAATTATCATTACATAATTTTAATAATTGTTAATATACAAGTGATAATTTATAAATCTTTTTTCTTAATAATGTATGAAGAATTCTTTCTACTTTTGCTTGCTTCATTGGGTGGCCAGTGTGATTGTTTTATCACATTATGAGAGAATGCTTCCATAGCTTTGTCAGTTTTTTTTTTACCGTATATTATCTTTCAATAATTTCCATAAATACCACCAGCTGTGGCTATGCACACCTGTAATCCCAGCCCTTGGGAGGCTGAGGCAGGAGGATTGTCAGTTGAAGGCCAGCCTGGGCTACATAATGAGACCCTGTCTCCAAAAAAAAGGAGAAAGGAAGAATGAATTTCCAGAAATACCAGAATCTTACATTTTGTAGATATGTCCTGTCCAATAAGTAGGCTAATATTTAAATTTAATAAAAGTTAAATACAATGAAAATGCAACTCCTCAGTCATTCTATCAGCCATGTTTCAAATATCAAATAGGCAAGTGTAGCTAGTGGCTACCCATCAGACAATACATATGTAGAACATTCCTGTTACTGTAGAAAGTAGTACTACCAAGCAGCACTACTTTAAAAGTTGTAGTGTATGCTTGTTTCTCAGAAATCAAAGAGGATATATTTTCAAGGGTGTTCCAGAGACTATTCTTTTATTGCTTCAATATGCTGAACATCTATTTTGAGAAGTCAAGTTACTGTTTTCATTCCAACTCCTCAGGATCATTATTGGTTTTGGAATAAATATAGGCACTTTCTCCATAATCTTCAAGATTATGTTACCATAATTTGTAAAGGTCCCAGTCAATGGTAAAAGGAAGTCAAAAGAAGAAGAGACAAAATAGAAGTAGTTCTAGCAGATACTCCATTGAGTAGTTAATCAAATTGTGAATAGTTGAATTCTCAGGAGCTAACTAGTAACAGGCAGTTGCACTGTACTTTTTGTAAGGACAAAAAGGTTGTTCTATTCTGGATCTGTGTTTTTCCTCAGAGAAAGGTGGTAAGCAGCAATTTTTTCTTAATAATACTTGTTATCTGCATTGGGCACTTCAAAACCATTTTCATTTGTTCTTCATAATAACCCTGTGGTACAAGTAGCATTGGGAGTACCATCCCCATTTTGTTGGTAAGAAAACTGAGTTTCAATGCAGTTATTTGCCTAAAAATTTGAAGAGAAAATGCAGTTGGGATTCAAACCAGAGTAAAATTTTAACTTCAAATTCAGTATGTTGGTATATTTTGTGTCTTTTTTTTTTTTTTTTTTGGTTTTTTCTCTACTACCTTAGACTGTGGTAAAGGATGTAATTAAAGTTCTTTAGGGAATTGAGATATTCTCAAAGAATTGCTGCAGTCTTATTTATCTTGTAACCATGTGTTTGAGCTACCATAACCAAATGCCACAGTTTCAGTAGCTTAAGAAATTTATATTCTGATAGATAAAGAGGCTGGAAATCAAAATAAAGGTGCTGGCAGGTTGGTTCCTGGTGGAGCTTCCCTCCCTATCATGCATATGGCAGCTTCTCTGTGCATCCTCACATGGCCTTTTCTCTGTGAGGGACAGAGAACGCTCTTCTTCTGTCCTATAAGATTAGGGCTTTACTCTTGTAGTGTCATTTAACCTTAATTGCCTCCTTAGAAGCCCTATCTCCAAATACATTCAAACTGGGGAGTAGGGCTTCAACATATGAATGGAGAAGGCACAGTTCAGTCCATAGGACAGTGTTAATGGGTTTTTAGTATTTTTTGAATTTTCTAGCTTAATCTGGTTAGTTGGAAACTATGTTTATATTCAGTGTTTGTATGAGATCAAATGTAGCAAGTATCTGTATTTCTGTGAATATAAAGTCTTAAATTACTCCTGTGGTGCTTGCTATAAGTACCTTCTAACTAAGATATTTTAATAGCAAAAATGTATTAAATGTGTTACTTTTCTTATAATGTAGACTAGTTTGTTAATACTTAAAGGTCTCAGTATGGGGGAAAAATCTCAATATAGATTAATAACTGTACCCCTTTCTTGCCCCATCTCTACTTCACAGATGGAGAAATTAACATACAGAGAAACTGACTGGTCAGAGGTTGGAGCAAGCTGTTGGTGGATCCAAGGATAAATCCCCAGATTTTTAACTCCCTGACCAGATTTTAGTCCATTGACTATGCAGCCTAGTGGTAAGCATTCTTTTATACTATCCTGGAGGTAAGAGGGATTAAGATACCTAGTAAAGACTGAATTTAAGGAATTCCTCTTTGCTAATTAGAACACCCATTTTCATTTTCATTTTCTTTATAGCCATGATGTCATTTTTGTCATTAACATGAATTTCAAATTGAGAGAGGAGTTTGGAAGTTTTGCTTTTTAAATACTACTCTGCAAGGGCTGGAGGAGTGGCTCAAAGTGGTAGAGTGCCTGCCTAGCAATCCTGAGGCCCTGAATTCAAACCCCAGTGCCACCTAAATAAATAAAGAAAGAAAGAAAGAATATTATTATGCGAGATTGGTCACATTACAGATTACTATTAAAGAAAAACCTTTAATTTAATGAATAATTATCCTTATTGGTAGGCACTTGATACCATCTTTTTAAGGTGTCATTAAAATTTGTAGCAATTTCTGGAAGTTACTCATTTTTGCCATCTTTATCATGAATTTTTAATAGTATTAGTTGGATTTATTAGAAACATTTTAGGGTTTAGATTCTAAATCAAATATGAGTTTTATGGATACTAATAACATATCAAAAACATTTAAAGAGGTTGGGTGCTGGTGCTCACACCTGTAATCCTAGCTACACAGGAGGCAGAGATCAGGAGTATCATGGTTCAAAGCCCGCTCATGCAAATAGTTTGTGAGACCCTATCTAGAAAAAACCCTTCACAGAAAAGGACTGGTGGAGTGGCTTGAGGTGTAGGCCCTAAGTTCAAGCCCCAGTACCTCAAAAAAAAAAGAGGAAAAACATTTAAAGAGAAAAATGTCTTTATATTTAAGTGTAGTTTTCTATTTATTATACTTTACCTTTTTTATGCCTCAGGATTTACTGAGTTGGGATGATTTGTCTTGTCTGGAATAATGTCAAGGTTACTATTTTTCTTAACACTAAAATCATAACATTTTCTCAAAAGCCTATTCTACCTTTATATCTGAAATAGTTAGGATTCTTTTAATTACTAGGGACATTGAATAACCAAGCCACATGAGAAAAGGTGGGATGAGCCTGTATATTAATAAATTCTCTCCTCCATCTCTCACCTCTGCTTCTCTCTGCCCATTGGCTTCTTGCTTATTGTAGATCTGCTTTCCCCATTATAGTAAAAGCTCAGGCCGTGTTGGTGATATTGATGACTTACTTTTACCATACCTCTGAACTGCAGTTGTCCAGCATGACCCTGTCCAGTAGAAATCAGTGCACACCACATACGTAATTAAAGATTTTCCAGCAGCCACATTAAAAAAGCTAAAAAAGAAACGAGAAATTATCTGAAATATTATTTTGACAGGTAACTGATACAAAATATATAATGAAAAAAATCTTTGTAATCTGATGTGTTTTATGCTTTGTAGCACATCTTAATTCAGATCCCAAGTTTTACTTGATGTATATTTAGGTTTTTAAAAATTATACTTGAAAAATAGATTCACATATCTAGTTTTGTTCCAAGTGTACTTAAAAGTTTTCCCAGTAACTTTAAAGCTAAGTATACACTTCTTAATCATATTAGCCATTATAAGGTAGCTACTGACTACCTTATTGGACTGAGCAACTCTAATACAGTGCTTCATGGTATTACTTCTTTCTTTACATTATTCCTTCTTTATCCTGTACTTCTCTTATTATCCCGTTTCTGACCCCCAAGACTTAATTGAAGTGTTTTTTCCTTGAAGTCTTAACTTCTCGTTCCACTCCCTTCCTGGGTGGAACTGGGTCTTCCGCTTACCTATTTCTTCTGAGCCCCAATAGTTATTTCTATCACAATACCTATAATACTTTAACACACATATTTATGTGTCTTTTTCTCTCTTCTGTACTGAAAAGAGTTTGTCTTTATTTTTTGAATCCATATTACCTAATAGGGAGCTGGAACCTATGTGTAATGAATGAATTTTTGTTTAAAGCTTAAATGAATGTAATTTTATTAAAGAAACAACAAACACTGTAGAGAGTTATTTTGAAAATAGTTAAGTTGAAATGGAATTTAAATGTCAGATTAAACAACATGGGATAGAATATGATCTGCTGCTGTTACATTCATTTCATTGATTCAGATATGTGAGATAAAGGAAAATATTATATAATCCATGCTATTAAATAGTTCATAAACAGGATAAACAACGTGCGCCCAATCAAACACAAATACACACACACAAGATATGGATACATTGATACTATGTCAGCCCCAAAGATAGTGTTTGGTTCTTAGTGAAAGACAAGGTTTAATAGGATCTTAGTCTAGCCAGTTAACTCCCTTTCAAATCCACAAATTCCTTTTCAGCTTAGAAAAGTTTCCACATCTTTGATGATACGGTGATGATAGGTGGTCATCTAACCTTTCTGCTCGTACATTTTAGGGAATGAACAATTCATACTCCCCAGAACAGTTCTCATTGCCAGAAAGTCTGCTTGCCTGCAATGAATGATTTTTTTAAATGCCTGAGTCAAAAGATCATGGTATGTTGGAAAATCCCTGGTGAGCACCCCAGTATTATTGTGCTCAATATTGTATCTGTAGTATCTAGACTAGTGACTGATACATAGCAGATAATAAGTGTTTGTTGGATAAATGTATCTATATAAGTAGGATTCTTGATGTTTGCTTCAATTAAGTTTTTATTTGTGAATTTACTCTGTAAACTATTACTATGTATCTTTCATTGCTGTTACCTGATAAGTCCTTCCCCTCTAAGGCACTATTAAGCTTACTGATACTTAATTCCTCATCTTTAAAAAGATATTGATAATACTTGTAATGATATATATGGAAATGCCTTGATTTGGCTTTATATATGGTAACTGTAAATATTAACTGACTCTGAAATGGAAGCCTCTAAGCTTCCCTTTGTCCAGATACACCAGTAATGTAGGTTCATTTTTAAATTAGTTAATTAAAAAATTATAGCAAATATATACAACATAAAATTTACCATCTTAATAATTTTCTTCCATATTGGGGATCACAGCCCAGGCTTCACAAATGCTAGGCAAGCATTCTACTATTGAGGTATACCCCTAGATCTCCTCCATTTTAACAAATTTGAAGTGTACAGTTTAGTGGCATTTCTGTTAGAATGTTCAGAAGGACATTCATATTGTGCAATCATCAGCACCACTTATCTCTAGAACTTTTTTATCTTGCAAGACTGAAACGCTGTACCCATTAAATAGTAGCAAGTTCATTTTTAATATTAGCCTAGATAACACATGTTCAAAACAGTAAATATGTAGTAGAAAAAATAAGATGACACTAAATATAAATAACTTTTATACTATCTGTAGTTCAAGATGATAGATTTTCAGTTATTTGTTAACATGAATAATTTTATCTAACCATAGTGATTTCTGTATTTAAGTCTCATTCTCCATGTTAAAACTGTTTTGATGAGAGCATGCATTGAAATAATTGACTTCATGTGCATAACTTTTCTCTCTTTGCATAGCCATTTCTGAATTTGGTAAAAAGACAAGCTTTTTTTTAAAAAAAAATTTTTGCTGTTTGCTAAATTCCACAAATACTTACTGGCTTAGTATTATTTAGCTCTGACAGGCATTAAGGTAGTAGGTAGAGCTAATACTTTGCTTAGGGGCCTCACCAGAAAGCTGTTACAAAGTATCATTTGTCCAGGGCCTTGAGGAATAAATAGAACTGGGGAAGACTCAGAGGCAGGAAGTTTAGTTTGTACAGATATATTTGGATACAGTTTTGAATTTTACTTTTAAATTGGGATAGTGACTTGTTTAATTTGATCTGTATTTTAGAAAAGTAATAGTAATACATAGATTGGAAAGGGGCAAGATCAAATACAGAAATTAGAATAAACTCAGAATAGAAGCAGCAGAAATAGGAGGGAAGAACTGGTTGTTTTAGCAGCAGAACTGACAGAATTGGATAACCAATTGATTTGAAGGACAAAGGAGAGCTGAGAATTCAGAAGTCCTGATTTTTTGATTTGTTATTAACTAGAAAAGGTACTACCAGAGAAGAAATATACTTCCTGGTTAAAAGGAATAAAGCTTATTAGTAAGGTGCCTACATATCATAACACACTCTGAAACATGACCTAAAATGCTTTGAAAAATTATAGGTGACATGCTCCTTTTATTTTGTGTAAAATTATACCACATTCTCTATTCTCTTTCTTTAGGAGTTGATACAAGGATGATAACCTGATCCATTGAATAATTTGTGGCAATACTTAAAATGATACATTTTGTAATATAACTTTCTTTGGATATTGCTTTCTGGTTCCACTAATTTGTATCAGGAGTTCAAACTATTTCTTTATTATCTTATGTTTCATAATGCTCACTCTGACTCTGAATTAGTTAGGGTTCTCCAGTGACTGAGCAGCCTGGTCCTAGGTCCAACAACAGTCTTAGTTTTTGTCCAGTGAGACAAAAGCAATAGAAGGTAGATGTGGATGGATGGACGGATGGATGGATGATGGGTGGGTGGGTAGGTAAGTAGGTAGATAGATAGATAGTAGATTTGTTATAGGAATTGGCTCACGAAATTATGGAGGCTAAGAAGTCCATGATACACTGTCTGTTGGTATAATTCTGTCTGAGTCCAAAGGTCTGAGAAACAGGGTAGCTGATGGTGTAATTCCCATTCTGAGGCAGAAGGCCTAAAAAATGATAGCAGAGGGAGAGGGCGCTGGTATAAGTCCTGGAGTCTGAAGCTTAAGAAACATGAGCTCTAGTGTCCAAGGGCAGAAGAAGATGTGTGTCCCAGCCTAAGAAACAGAATTTTCCCTCCTCCACCTGTGTTGTATTTGGACCCTCAATGGATTTAATGACATCTGCCCACATTGATGAAGATGATCTTTATGTAGTCTACTGATTCAAACCTTCATATCTTCCAGAAGTACACACACCTAGAAATAATGTTTACTAGTTGTCTGGGCATCCCTTAACCCTGTCAAATTGATACATAAAATTAACCATCACAAGTCTACCC